CAATCAACAAAATATCATAGCGTCCCATCACATGTTGCTATGCATGCATCTTCCATATTTCTTTACTCCTTTATGTAACTTCTTTTGAAAATTTTACTATAGGAAAGCACAAGGATTAGAGAAGTTGCTGTATATGTGTTTATCTCCTAGAATTTTAATATTTTAATATATTAAAATGCACATACATTGTTCAAAAATCACAAATTCCTTGTCACCTAGTAATATTATCACTTAGTAATACTTAGTAATCACGTACTGTCAATAAAATTAAAAGTTATCATGCATATTATCACTTCATATATCCTTGTTTCCATATTACTTGGTATCCATCATTGAGTTTGTCTTTTCAGACATTTTATACATGTACTAATATGAGCAGATACACTCAAATTGCTCTCCCCTTGTTTTACACAAATGATAGCATGTTGCACATTTTAAAATACATTTTGATGTATTTGCTTTAAAATTTCTCCCAAAGAATATAGATATTATCAATAAAAATGAACTATATTTTCATGAGTAAATTTTTTTAAAGGAACCTTTAAAATTTTAAATATGAAAATACATGTATAACCAATATAGAGATTGCTTTGATCATGTCACATTTGGATACTGTACCCCACCTCAGTTTTTCTGTGAACATTCGTTTTATTGTTATTTTGCATAATTGATATCTTTAGGAATATATATTTGTATGTGAAAACAGACCCTTTAAAAGATATTTGAGAGAATCTGTAAGTGCTGACTCTTCTGGCTTTTTTATGACATTGAAGAGAAAGTAGAGGGCTCTGAGTGATAGCATAGTGGTTAAAGTCCTCGCCTTGCACTTGCCGGGATCCCGTATGGTCTCTGGTTCTAAGCCTGGTGGCCCTGCTTCCCATCCAGCTCCCTGCCTGTGGCCTGGGAAAGCAGTCGAGGACGGCCCAAAGCTTTGGGAACCTGCACCCGCGTGGGAGACCCGGGAGAGCTCCTGGCTCCTGGCTTCAGATTGGCTCAGCTCCAGCCATTGCACTCACCTGGGGAGTGAACCATTGGACGGAAGATCTTCCTTTCTCTCTCCTCCTCTCTGTATATCCACCTTTCCAATAAAAATAAACAAATATTAAAAAAAAAAAGAAAGTTGATAGTAATACTAACAGCAGATAAAATTTAATTAAAATAACATTACAGTGGAGAGACATTTCATAAGGGAAAACGAATCAAACCACTGTAACTTTATATGTGGGGGATGTGGCCATATCGGAGTGCTGGAGTTCAGTTTCTGACCGCTGGTCCTCGCTAGCTTCCTGTCGTGCATACCCTGGGAGGGAGCAGTAGGGAGGGCTGGACTGAGTTACCTCTCTGGCGAAGTTTCCTGGCTGTTGGAGGCATTTCAGGAGTAAACAGGGTGAAGAAGCTGTGGCTGTTTCTTGCTCTCTGAGTCTCTTGAATAAAATTGAACTGCATAGGTGAAAAGTGACAGAATTGTAGGGAGAAATTAGTAGGACCACAATCATTATGATGTGTTTAAATTTACCTCTTTGTGGAAGTGCTTTTCACTGGAGATTATGTAATTGAGAAGCTACTCAAAATGAGAATGGATTTGGATGTTTAGCCCTAGACCATGTTAACAAATTACTGGGAGGAAGCTTATTGTCACCCAGTGGATGCCAGAAGCATCTTGACAGATTTTAGCCTTTTTATTTTAAAACTGTAGCAGAGCAGGCTTTTGTTCTAGCTTTCCTAAAGCCTGTAAATATATGGAGTAGTAAGCTTCAGAGACCTTTCTAGTCAAAAGCTAGACAAAGATGTCTACATCAGTCCTTAACAGTCAACATTTTGTATTTCGGATTTTAGGAAAATCTGTGAGAAAAGAGGAAATAAGATATACAGAATTTGAAAAGAAAGAGAGAAAATTGTCTGTCATTTGTAGATAAGAGTACCTATATGTAAAACTGAAGGGAAACAGTTGACTACTAGACTATATAGCACAGTCTCTTAATGCAAGGAAATACGAAAATATTTTAAAGTGCAAGTAGATAAAATTTTAATACAAAAACTTATTTGTAACACCTAGGATAAGTTTAATAAAAATACACAAATTTTTAAAAGCTGTAAACCCTGGGTCTATAGCCTAGTAGCTAAAATCCTCACCTTGCACACCTGGGATCCCAGATGGGCTTTGGTTTGTATCCAAGCTGCTTCGCTTCACCTCCAGCTCCCTGCTTGTGGCCTGGGAAAGCAGTGTAGGACAGCCCAAGGCCTTGGGACCCTGCACCCTAGTGGGAGACCCGGAAGAGGCTCTTGGCTGCTGTCTTGATCGCTTCAGCTCCAGCTGTTGCAGCCACTTGGGGAGTAAACGAGTGGATGGAAGATCTTCCTCTCTGTCTCTCCTCTCTCTAAATCTGCCTTTCCAATAAAAATTAATAAATCTTTTAAAAAGCTGCAAAATTTTATGGAAAAGCTTTTTATAAAAGAACTGAGTATGAGGAATCATACTAATGGATGGAAAAATTAAGAAGTTTTTTCAAGGCAATAAAAGTAAGTTTCTAAGCCCAGCATGATAGTAGTGGTTAAAGTCCTCTCCTTGATCCCATGTGAATGCTGGTTCTAATCCCAGCAACCCCACTTCCCATCCGGCTCCCTGCTGGGAAAGCAGTCAAGGACTGCCCAAAGCTTTGGGACCTGGATGAGGCTCCTGGCTTCGGATTCGGATTCGCTCAGCTGCAGCCAGACTGCTTGGGGAGTGAATTATTGGTCAGAAGATCCTCCTCTTTGTCTCTCCTCCTCTCTATCTGCCTTTCCAATAAAAATACATAAATCTTTTTTTAAAAAGTAAGTTTCAACAAGTTTTTTTGAAAGATGCTTATTCAAAGTTATGAAGGGGGTAGTCATCACGGTACAGTGAGTGAACCCACCACTTGATATGCTGGCATGCCATATTGAAGTCCCTGGGGTTGAGTCCCAGCTCCGTCTCTGAGCCTGTTTCTTTGCAGTGTGATATACTAGGAGGCAGCAGATGAGGGCTCAAATACGATTCCCTGCCACCCACTTGAAAGGCTCATAAAGAGCTCCTGGCTGCCCAGTAGTTGGTATTTGGGAGTGCTTTCTCTGATGTTCTGCCTTTTAAATTTTGCAGAAATTTCTAATGAAGAATGAATGAGATTTTTTTACTTAAAAAGCTTAACTTCAAAATGATAGTTGTGAAACTTTGGATGTAAAGGTCCAAATAGAGGCAGCCGTCCTGCAGTGGGCTGAGTAGCCGCTTGACACACCTTTATCCCACGTTGAAGTGCTTGCGTTTGAGTTCTGCTTCCCCCTTCTCAGTGGGAGGCAGAAGGGACTCGGATACTTGATTGGCTTTGGCAGGTCAAACCCCAGCTGTTACTGGCATTTGGGGATTGATCCAGTAGGTGGGAGTTGTGTTTGTCCCTGTCTTGCAGGTAGTCCTCAAAAACAAGCACTGAAAGAGGGTAATGCAAGTAATTGAGAGGGGAAAAGATTGAAGTAACACGAAGATTTTTGAAATATTCTAAGGACTTTGATACATAATATTGGTATTTTAAAAATTTGAATTGGCATTTGTGTATAATTATGAGGTACAACTTGATTTTTTTTTTTTTGAAGATGTATTTGAAAGACAAAGTTACAGAGAAGGGATGGGGGAGAGATGGATCTTTCTTCTTCTGGTTCACTCGCTAAAGGGCTACAGCAAGGGGAGTGGGTCTGGTTCTAAGCCATGAGCCAGCAGCTTCTTACAGATCTCTGGGGTTCCCAGGGACTTGGGCCGACAGTGCTTCCAGACACGTTAGGGAGCTGGTCAGAGGTGGAACACACGTGCTCACTGCACCACAACACCAGTCCCTGATGGTTCTCATCAGTTTGACAAGTAAATATTAGTGTCGGAGTATTTATTTGGCATTGCTTTGATTCCTGGTTATGGTGACTATTTTTGATGTTTTAAATTATGGTCTTAATTGGTAATCACTTCTAATGCTATTTGAATGATATTTGACTATTGATACTACACTGTCCCAACTAACAAATAGTAAGATAACTGACATTTTACATACCTTTTAATCCTGTGAGCGACTCTCAGTTATAGCTTTATGGATGAATTAAATTGATATGAGAGAAATGGTTTCTTCAGTGTTACAGTTAGGAACTCAGATTCTATGATCTGTTACTGCACTGTCACTTTTCAACTTACATTGGTATGATTGGGGAGTATTGATATTTTTGTCTTTCTGGGTGATTGCGTTTTATGTTTGCTTATTCTTGGTCTCCGATGAAGCTCTCTCTGGTTTATTTGGAAGGGGTTAGACAAGAAATCAATACTTAGATTCATTTGGTTCTAATTAGAAAGTGGGTTATCAGATATTTACAACTGGAAGTGTTCTAATTTTCAATTTATATTTTCTTGTACACTGTTGCTGAACAAGTAAGTTTGGGTGACATTTATGTTTTTTCTTACCAAAGAAGTCTGTTAACTTTCTTTGGCAGACCTAATCAGATTTTGTAGACCTTTTCTTTGTGTGTGTGGTACTGTATGAACAGCTTTTATTGTTTACCATGTGAAATGGAGGCCACTCCCTCTGACCATTCACTGTCCTGAAAAAGCAAACATTTTGATGTAAACGGTTTGAGGAAAGCTGATTCGGTCCTGGTCCTTGTTCTCATTTTGTAAGGGGAGGGTGGAGATGCAGTGTTCAGATAGCTGCAAAATGGCAGAACCAGATCAGATCCAATTCTTCCTTTGTAACATGCTTCCTCTGATAATGTTATGTAATATTAATGTTTGTCTTTAATAATTATGTTAAAAAGTTATAAAGTAGACTTGTGGTTTCTTTATATTTCCTTCTAATCCATTATTTTATGGCCTTTGAAATACATATGTGTTCTTAAGTTTGGGATAGCCTAGCTTATTCAGCACAAGTGCAAATTCGTAATCACCTGTGTTTAAAAATAGAAATAAAAAGGATTTTTTTCTGTATTTAATGTGTCACAAATGTTTGGCTTAGTTTCTGTAGAAAATGTTTCCTGACTGCAATGAGAGAAAGTGGAATACATTGTCCCCTGTGTCGTGGAAATGTGACTAGAAAAGAAAGAGCATGTCCCGAACGGGCCTTAGACCTTGAAAATATCATGAGGAAGTTTTCTGGTAGCTGCAGATGCTGTGCAAAACAGGTAGAGTAACCATGACGGAGCTCCTCTTTGCAAACCAAACTTCTACTCTGAAATCCCTGTTTGACTTTTCTTGGTGGGTGATGTTTCCAACAGAAATAAGTTATTTAGCTTGGTTTAGAAGTTAAGGCCAAAAATTTTGTAATTTGCAGATCTTACTATTTTATAAACTTAATGAGAACAGAAATGAAAAGGTGAAATCTTTGATTTTGCCATAATTTGCAGCATGGTGTTTTTCCCAAAGTAATCAATCATTGATTACTTACTAAGATAATTAAAAAGCAACAAGCTCTTTTAAGCCCCATTCTGGCCTACATTCTATTCTTAAATATTGTTTTCTAGCAGTGGTATCATTATTGCAACTTTTCTTCCAAATATTAAGTTACTTAGTATTTATCTAGAAAATCACAAAATATTTGGTAAAATAGTTAAGTTTTAAGAAATGTGGGAAGATCAGATCCAATCCAGATTTTATTGTTTTGTTTGGTGAAATACAGGAATGAAGGATTTTTAAGTGTAACTCTGTGTCTGGATTTATCACACGTTTTTTTACCCCTTGATGAAAAGTTTAGTGAGCAAAACCAGTTGCTGTTTTATGCTCTCACACAAGCCCGATCTGCTTTGCCTCTCTTTGAGGAAGGTATTTAACTGACAAGCAATGAAGTAGTTAGAAAACATACTCGAGAAGCTCTGACTTTCTCCTTTGTGAGAAACTGACAAATATTTTAAATGTTAACCTGGGATCTTAAGTTTTTATAAGCCCTTTCTAACTCTAGCATGTTGCAGTGATTAAAGAATTATGGCATGAATTAACCTTATAGTACTTTTAAATTTTTTTTCGGTTTTGCTGTTAGTGTTAGTATTTCAAGTGTAAAGTTATTTGTTATTATTTGTTGCAGTGAGTTTATGGACAGACGGACTCTTCTCCATGGTCTTTGAAGCTAACGGACAAAAATTGCATTGCCTGTTTTAGCTCACACTTAAGGATAAAATCATGTGCTAATTTTTAAGGAAATCTTTAAATGGCATATCGAATGACCTCTTTGTCTTTTATTCTCTTATTGACAGTATCTCAAATCTTGCCAATTTTACTTTAAGTTAAAAATCACATTTTAATCAATAATTTACAGATTAAATTCTATCGCATGAGACATCATTACAAATCTTGCAAGAAGTATCAAGATGAATATGGTGTTTCTTCAATCATTCCAAACTTACAGATTTCCCAAGATTCAGGAGGGAACAGGTAAGTAATATTTATTGTTAAACATAATTTTTGTGATTGAAATGGAAATTATGTGGGGGATTAGATTGTTTATGTTCTAACAATATTAGATTAGATTGTTCAGTGGCTAAGTCTCAGAACTGCAGGACAGACCTCCACAGCTTGGCACCTGTGTGGTTGCATCTGGGAGATTAACTTCGTGATAAACTTAAGCTTTATTCGAAAACTAGGGGCTGGTTTTGTAGCAGGTTAAGGTGCTGCCTACACTGCCATCCATACAGGCACCAATTAGAGTCCTGGCTGTTTCACTTCTTACTCAGTTCCTTGCTGATATGCCTGGGAAAGCAGAGGCAGATGGCACAAGTGCCTGGGTCCTGCATCCACATTGGAGATCCACCTGAATCAAGTTCCTAACTCCTTGGCCATCCTCTACTGCTTTCCCAGGCCAGAAGCAGAGAGCTGGAAGGGCAGTGGGTCAGCTGGGAAGGAACCAACACTCAAATGGGATCCTGGCGCATGCAAAGCGAGGATTTACCCACTGAGCTAATTCTCCAGGCAGATTTTGGGAGATTGTTAAAACTAGTTTGAAGAACCTGGGCTCGGTGCCGTGGCCTAGAGGCTAAATACCTCGCCTTGAACATACCAGCATCCCATGTGGGTACCGGTTCTAATCCTGACAACCTTGCTTCCCATCCAGCTTCCTTCTTGTGGCCTGGGAAAGCAGTTGAGGACAGCCCAAAGCCTTGGGATCCTGTACTGTGTGGGAGACCCAGAAGAGCTCTTGGCTCCTGGCTTCGGATTGGTGCAGCGCTGGCTGTTGCAGTCACTTGGGGAGTGAATCATGGAACAGAAGATGTTTCTCTGTCTCTCCTCCCTCTATGTATCTGCCTTCCCAATAAAAATAAATAAATCTTTTTTTTTTTAAGATTTCTTTTTATTGGAAGGTCAGATATATAGAGAGGACACAGAGGAAGATCTTCTGCTTGCTAATTCACTCCCCAAGTGAGTGCTGAGCCGATCCAAATCCAGGCACCAGAAGCTTCTTCCAGGTCTCCCACGCGGGTGCAGGTTCCCAAGACTTTGGGCATCCTTGACTGCTTTCCCAGGTCACAAACATGGAGCTGCATGGGAAGTGGGGCCACCAGAACACGAACCAGCGCCCACATGGGACCAGGTCTAGACAGGCATCTTAATTGCTAGAAAAAGCAGTGGCCTCCTTGCTTGCTTTTTTTTGAAGTGTTCTAATATCTGATACTAAGAATTACCTTAAAAAAAAAAACTAGCTTGAAGAATCTTGTTACCAGGTTTAAATGTATAGATAATAAAATTTTAAAAAATAGATGTCACAGGCTGTTTTTGTTAATGGAATAATGTAATAACCTTTTAATATATGTTCTTCTTAGAGTTTATTAATGAAGCTTAGTTTATTTTCCGTTAGGGTATAAAGTACAATAAATAGTCAAATATTTTCTTGAACTTACTGACTTTGTAAAACATAATCTTTAACCTTATCTTAGCTGCAAATTCTTGAGTGTACTCCATGGTTTATAAACTTCCTGTTAGAGCTAAAGGAATAGAATTTAATGTAATTGTGTGAAATTCTATATTTAGAATTTTTTTTGTAACTTTGCGTGAAGTAACTTTTAAGCCTTGACGAAGAACCTAATACGTGTTCTTACCTTACTTGAAAAGTAGTCAATTCTATAATTTATTTTTAACATTTAAGAGTATGAAAGCAAATTGAGATTAATCTTAGCAGTTCAAGTTAATGAACTATTAGTAATGTTTTATTGGTTATTAGGGTGTTAACTTTTCCCCCTCTGTTTCTTAAGTAATAGGAGTGAAACATCTACATCAGATACCACAGAAATTTACCAAGAGAATACAAGGTAAGCTTGTGAAAAGTTCAAATTTGAACTTATTTTAGGAAATAATATTATGTTTTTAAATAATAATAAGCCTCTAATTCAGTTGAATCATCAAAAATAGTACTAGTAGTTAGCTCCCTAGTAGTAAACTTTGTACGTTTTGCTTTTGAGAGTCACATTGGGTGGGTGTAGGGGCCCAAGGAGCCATCCTCTGCTGTCCCGTCACCTCTTACCCCAATCCCGTCACAAGCAGGGAGCTAAATTAGAAGTGGAGCAGTTGGTACTCGGACTGTCACACATATGGAATGTCGGATCTGCAGGTGGAAGCCCAGCCTACTATGCCACCATGGATTTTGTTTTATCTTGGCGGCACCATGAAAAAATTAGCTATTAATACTATAAGGGTACTGTAATTGAGATTGTTACTTCCTTATGTCATAATTTTGATTTAAGTGTGCTTCATGTAAAATCGTTTTATAGTTCTTCTGGACATCCTACCTTTAAGTGTCCCTTGTGTCAAGAATCAAATCTTACCAGACAGCGTTTATTGGATCACTGCAACAGTAATCACCTGTTTCAGATAGTTCCTGTGGTAAGCAAATATGTTTTTATAAGCTTCTGTAAGATTAAAGCATGCTGTTCCGTTTATTTCAGTTCATACGTTCAACAAATGAATGTGAGTTTAATTTGGATAATGCATTATGAGTGAGGTCAGTTTTTGGAGAGCAAATGAGTAATGACTGTGAAGCAAAATAAAGTACTGAGAATTGCAGTAATTTACATCACAAAATGCAGGTGCTTACTGGGTGGGGAGAGAAGAGAACAGTGTGCAGAAGAGTGAAATAATGAAAGGTGAACCAGGATTCTTTCTTGAGTAGCAGCAGGACTCAACACTCTCGGGGCTCTGTAATATGCAAATAATTGAATCTTGTCGAGTGGATTTGCTCTAGGTAAAAAATAACCTTCAATAAGAATAAAAACAGTGGCTATTTGAACTGTGAAGTTATAGCGTTTATTACCTGAATACATTAAGCAAGGAAGAAAACAGATTCATCCTTTTTTTTTTAAAGATTTATTTTATTTTTTTTGCAAAGTCATATACTGAGAGGACGATCTCTGTCCAATGATTCATTCCCCAAGTGGCCGCCAACAGCGAGAGCTGAGCCAATCAGAAGCCAGGAACCAGGAGCCTCTTCCAAATCTCCCATGTGGGTGCAGGGTCCCAAGGCTTTGGGTCATCCTTGACTGCTTTCCCAGGCCACAGGCAGGGAGCTGGATGGGGGATGCAGGGCTGCTGTGATTAGAACTGGTGCCCATATGGGATCCTGCGTGTTCAGGGCAAGGACTTTAGCTGCTAGGCTACTGTGCCATGCCCAAGAATTATACTTTTAACACAAGATTTTTATTCTACCTTGAGAGTGAGTTAGCAATGAGACTTTCTTTTTTTAAAGATTTATGTTAGTTATACTTGAAAGACACACTTACAGAGAAAAAGAAACGGAAATCTTCTGTTCTCTAGTTCAGTTTCCAAATGGCCACAACATCCAGAGCTGAGCCGATCCAAAGCCAGGAATCAGGAGTTTCTTGCCCATATGGGATCCTGGCACTTGCAAGGGAAGGATTAGCCAATTGAGCTATTATGCCAGGCCCCTATATCTGGGATTGTTAAAGGTTAGATGTGGTTTTTCCAAGGAAAGTGGTAAAATTGCAGACTTAATTAGAATGTCTAAGGTCCCTGTCATTACATTGTGTTACATGCCCTAGAGCTTGGCCTTTAGAAAAAGCTCTCGTGGGCAAGGCATACTTTCAGATATTGTAAGTTCAGTTCCAGAGTCCTACAATATGTGAATATTGAAATAAAACCATCCTCATTTATTTTGGTTTCACTGTATATAATAGTGTTGGACTTTATTGTGTAGTCTATTAAATATTCTATCTAAAAACAATGTATATACCTCAATGAAAATTATTTTATTGTTGAAAATATTTAGCCATCTTTTCATCTGTTGGAAAAATGCGCTGATAGATTTGCCTGATGCAGGGTTGTTATACACCTTCAGTTTGTTTTAAAAAACCCAAACTTCCAAGTTCAATAAAGCAAGATATGCCTGATGTTTTGGTAACATGAGCCTGTTTTAATTGCTCTCAATAATTATATAATGTTTATATGTTTGCATTATTTTTTATGTAAAACAATCTGTTTCTCATAGACATGTCCTATTTGTGTGTCTCTTCCTTGGGGAGATCCTACCCAGATTACTAGAAATTTCGTCAGTCATCTAAATCAAAGACATCAGTTTGATTATGGAGAATTTGTGGTAAGCGAATTCTTCAAGATTAAGTACTTCTTAGATATTCAAGTTAAATTTTTTTTTTCAGTCTAGACTTGAGTTTTGAGATGATGTTGTTTGGATATGTAGCATTTTTTTTAAATAAGTTATTTTTAATAACATTTGTGAAATCTAGTTGTAGAAGTGATAAAAGTTGAATTTCTTTGTTATTGATTAAAGAGAAAATTAACAGAGGAATGACAAACTCCCACATCAAGAAAATGAGAATTCTGTCTAGATTAAAGGAAAAGTTATACTTACTAGAAAAGTAAAATTGGTATAACATATAAAAGAATGACATATTTCTGAAATGAGGAAGCTTAATTTTCAGGCAAAGCTGGGTTGACTGCATAACCAAGTAAGTGAGGAATTGATAATGTAAAAATGGATTCCTAAAACAAAAATATGGAGTTACTGATTTTCTAATATAATTTCCTAGATAATGACATCTGCTTTCTTACTAACAAAAGTACACTTTATTCAACTTTAATTAAGTCTTACCTCAAGATTGATCCTTGGAAAAACAGCAGATAATATTCCAGTTTAGGTGAACAGCAGTGTGTGGGCTCATGTGAGGTGAACGTATTTGCATTTGTCTTTGCTGTCTGGTATTGAGATCACATCATTCCGGATTTTTTTTTTTTTTTATTTTATGAAGTGTGTATTTCATATTCTATTTCATAATTAAAATGTAATTAAAATTTAGTGATTTTATGAAATAATTATAGCTTAGCATTGCTAGAAAGATTTTGCTTGGAAAAACATCTTTTTAAAAAAGATTTATTTGAAAGGCAGATTTTACAAAGAGAGGAGAAACAGTGAAAGAGGTCTTGCATCTACTGGTTCGCTCCCCACATGGCCTCAGTGACCAGAGCTGAGCTGATCCAAGGCGGGGAGCCAAGAACTTCTGCCCTGTCTTACACAGGGGTGCAGGAGTCATCCTCTGCTGATTCCCCATGCCATATACAGAGAGCTGGCTCAAAAGTGGAGCAGCTGGGATGCTAGCAGGTACTTAGCCTGCTATACCACTGTGCCAACCCCAAGAAAAACATTTTTTAAAGATTTATTAATTTTAATGCGAAGTCAGATATACAGAGAGAGGATGAAAGATAGAGAGGAAGATCTTCCATCTGATGATTCACTTCCCAAATGACTGCAACAACCAGAGCTGCGCCAGTCTGAAGCCAGGAGCCAGGAACTTCCTCTAGGTCTCCCACGTGGGTGCAGGATCCCAAGGCTTTGGGCTGTCCTTTACTGCTTTCCCAGGCCACAGCAGGGATCTGGATGGGAAGTAGGGAAGTAGGGTTGCCAGGATTAGAACCAGCATCCATATGAGATCCCGGGCGTTCAAGGCGAGGACTTTAGCTGCTATGCCATTGTGCTGGGCCCCAGAAAAACATAGTTTTATGAACCACTTTGGATGTGATTGTTAGATTGTTTTATTTTCCATAGGAAAAAATGTGTAATTATGATTACTTGAAATTATGAAGTAGAATCCTTGATATGCTGAAGATTTATTTGTTTGAAAAGCAAAGTTCCAAAGAAGCAGAAATGGAGATCTTCCATCTGCTGGTTCATTCTCCAAGTGGCCACAATGGCCAGTTTTAAACTAGGCCTGAAGGAGGAGTTAGGAGCTTCGTCTGGCTCTCTCGCATGGTTGCAGGGAGCCAGTCAGTTGGATCATCTTCCACTGTTTTCATAGGTGCATTAGCAGGGAGCTGGATCAGAAGTGGGACAGCAGGGACTTGCAGCCAGTGCCAGTGTAGGATATCGGCACCGAAAGCAGCAGCTTAATTCACACTGGTCCCAGCCTTGGTAGATTTGAAAGCACGTCAGTGGTATATAGAACATTTAAACTTCAGGAATAGTTTTCTTTCTATATTTTTTACACTTTATAAATTTAAAGTTCTTGATATTGATTATGTAGTTGTGAGGTCCGCTGATTGGGGTAGGGAAGGGTCAAGGTGTGGAGGACAGTGGGTAGATAAATGTTTCAGTTTGTTGGTATTTTAGTCCTTTTTGTTTTTTAGGAATAATTTTGTGAGCTAACTATAGTTTTTATTTGTGAAAATTATTAATAATTTAAAATTTTCAGATACTCAACATCCTTTCCTATGTTAAAATGAACTGTACTCATAATAACTTTATTCATTGATGAACCTTTCCTGTTTACTCATTATTGCCAAATAATTACAATTGAACTTTAATTTTATTAAAGTTGTCTTACTTGCTAAAGGGTGCGATATGTTGTACATAAACTGTTTAAGTGTGTGATTGTGTCAAGATGTGTACTGGGCAGAATATTTAATGGAGCATGTTTTTTCCTAATGATGTGTTAATGTTACTATTTTTAGAATCTTCAGCTAGATGAGGAGACTCAGTACCAAACTGCTGTTGAAGAATCTTTTCAAGTAAATATCTGATGACTCTAGAAATCTGCATCTGTGTACCTGCAAGTGCCATCTTTACAAGAAAGGACATGAAGTCACCATGTTCAATTACTCGATGTGTATATTAATAAAAGTAATCCAATCTATTGTTTTAGTCTTTTGTATGAGAAGTAAAGGTGGGTCATCAAAAACTCAGTTATAAGTTAAAAAAATTGACGTTAGCATGAAAAGCATAAAAGATAATATTTCATTAATGTGAAAAGGAGTAATTCTTGTACTTTTTTTTATATTACACACATTGAATTTCTCATTTTTATGTTGTTGAAATTTTGTGCAGTTTGCTCACAGGTAACACACGGTAGCAGATACCAGAGTTGCAGATGGAGACTTGAAGTGCTAAATAGAATGATCCAAAGCAAAGCTTTTAAATACAGATTCTAGATGAATAATTCAACTGGTTAACAACTTGTATTTATGTAAAAATTTTCGTATTTTTTAGGACTAGTGAGATTTCTTTAATAATTTTAACTTTAAAAATGAAAACCCATTGTTAAGGTGTTTTCTTTTCCTGTTAGAAAATGTTAACATAACCATTTCTTTAATGAACAAGTGATTTCAATCTTGTTTGATTAATTTATAAATGAAATATATTAAGCATTTTGAAAGCTGTTAGACCTCAGAATTTTTCCAAAGTCAGTGTTTCTGATTGGCTAAAATGAAACTTTAATTAGAAACATTCAATTTTGTTTTCATTTGTGAAATTCATTCCAAGTTAAAAGTGTATGTATGGGAATATACATAACATATGTGAATTTCAGATACAGTATATGTGTATATACACATGTTTACGTACTTGCAGTTTGTCAGGTTGAATTTCTACCAAGGATTTTTAAAATGGGCAAAATGGGATTGAATTATTTATTGGATTTGATATATAAATTCTGTATATCACTAAACTTTTTAAAAAGTCAAATGCTATGTGGTTTAGTTGGCTGGTAGTATACATCTTAAAATTTGAGTCTACACACATGCCAAATCAGCTGTTTAAATGGTGCTCATTTGTTATTCTCAAAGGAAACATGACTATTAATAATGATAAAGATTCTGTCAATCTCACTACTTCTGCATTGAAACTGGGTTTTGGTATTCTGTTGTGACTCATAACATACTTGTGCAAGGCAAATCACAGAATAGAGGATGAACAGTGGGTCAGCTAACATTCCATACTAATGCATTGTTTATGCTTTCTTAAAAAAACTTATAAGTATAAAAGAAAATCTCAGTAGTTTGCTGCTAATATATACGTATATTGTATAAAAAGGTATATTTTGGTTTTGTTAAACCCTTGTTGACTTTTTTACAGTGAACATTTTTTTAAACTTGGTTTAATAAAAAGGTTAATTTTGGAAGTGGAGTTTTGTAAAACCCTTTTTTAGTCTTAGTAATGACTTCATGCACTGTAGTGGAATCACCACAGGCGTCCCTCTCAAAGGGCATGCCTCTTCGTCGCTCTGAGGAGTGATGCTTACTGTGTGCGTGGGTACTCTCCGCATCCCCTTGGTGTGGTTAGGAATGGTTATATAACAACTCTTAGACTTGACGACTAGTGTCTTTGTTTTTTTTTCCCCTGTTTAAAGCAATAACTTTAGTAGCTTCTTTCAAAGTCTGGTATGTATGTGAAATTCAACCATTGTTGAATTTAAGAACTTTAAAGGAAAGCTGTAGCAGAGAGAAAATTTTGTTTGGAAGCTTTGTGGATAAGTGAAATGTGTTAGTAAGCTTTTTCATAAAGCCATGTTAATCTACTACTTTACCCCCTGAAAAGTTGAAAAGCGTGACCTTACAACTTTCACATTTTTAAATGCCTACTCATTACTCATCATGGTATTATTGTGCAAAAGATATTTAAAAAGAAAACAAAATCCTACTTCTGAATACTTAGCAACCATTTCTTCCAAGTGGTTAAGAACATGTCATTCCACAGATGAGAATGCGCTTTGTAAAGGACGTTAATAGAGACAACTGGTGAGTTGGGAAGATTATTCATTAGATAACAATATTGTAACGTAAAATTTCTTGAATCTGGTAGTTGTATTATGAATTTGTGTGTGTGTAGTTCTATATGAAATTGGTCGTATCCCTTTATCAGAAACTTATGAGGGATCCAGTTCTCCACATCTCTGCCAGTAGTTGGTATTATTATTTTAAAGTTTAACCTTTGAGATAAACTGGGTCCACACCTGGTGCAGTGGGTGAGCTGGCACCTGGGATGCCAGCATCCCATATCAGCACCAGTTTGTGTTTCAGTTGCTCCCACGTGGGAGACCCAGTTGAATTTTCTGGCTTCTGGCTTCAGCTTGCCTCAGTGCCTACCACTGATGCCATTTTGGGAAGTGAGCCCTGAAGATCTCTGTCTCTCTTCTCTCTCAAGTAATAAATCTTTAAAAAAAAAAAAAAAGAAAAGAAAGAAATAGATACATAATGATGTCTCATTGTGGTTTAAATGTAAGTTTTTCTACAATGGATGGTGATAGTGGACAGTTAAAAAAATACATTTATTTGAGAGGCGGAATGACAATGATGGAAGAGGGAGAGATAAAGATCTTCCATCGCTAGTTCATTCCCTAAATGGCCAAAGAGAGCAGGACCTTAGAACTCCACCCATGTCTCTGTGGGTGGCATGGACCCAGGTACCCGGACTGTCCAATGCTGCTTTTCCAAGTGCGTTAGCAGGGACTTGAATCAAAAGTCGAGGAGTCAGGAGACTCAAGTTTGCACTCTAATATGGGATGCCACTGTTGCAAGTGGAGTGTGAATCCACTGTGCTCCAGCTATGCCTATTTTAACGTGCTTAGTCTCCATATGTATAACTTTTTAAAGTTTTTTTTTTTTTTTTTAAATTGCAAAGTCAGATACACAGAGAGGAGGAGAGGCAGAGAGGAAGATCTTCTGTCTGCCGATTTACTCCCCAAGTGACTGCAACAGCCAGAGCTGCGCTGATCCGGAACTGGGAGTTAGGAGCCTCTTCCGGGTCTCCCACGCGGGTGCAGGGTCCCAAAGCTTTGGGCCGTCCTCGACTGCTTTCCCAGGCTACAGGCAGGGAGCTGGATGGGAAGTGGAACTGCCAGGACTAGAACCCGCGCGTTCAAATCGAGGACTTTAGCCACTAGGCCATGGCGCTGAGCCCTACATATAATTTCTGTTATGAAATATCTGTTCATATCCTTTATTCACTTTTAAATTATATTATTTGTTTTTCTGCTACTGAGTTTTGGGTGTTTTTTGTATGTATGATAATTCTGAGTCCTTTGCCAGTAAGTAATTAGGCTTGCAGATGATTTTTCTTCATTTGTAGCTTTGCTTCCTTTTCCAGAGGTTTGCACAGAGCAAATTTTAAATTTGATGAACTCCAATTTATTGATTATTTTTGTTATGAGTTATGTTGTTGGTGTCATGTCTGAGAACTCTTCACTGAGCCCTACATTACCGCATATTTTGTTTCTCAACTTTCTGCTTTGCATTTAAATCGTATTCCATTTAAAGTTTATTTTTGTGTAATGGGTGACATCTGAGCTGACATCCTGTGTGTGCATCGTGCTCCTGTCGACATCCGTTGGTTCAGGGTCATTTGCTGTGAGTGTCGATCCTTCCATCACTGTATACATAAATGATACGGAAGAGAATGTTGTAGATCTTAGCGGATACATACGTAATATTAGATCATGATGTCTGCAACTTTTTTCGAATGGTTAAAAGGAAAGGCAAACACAGGTAAACATGTGATAAAATCAAACACGTGGAGAAATATAGATGAAGGGTGTCTGAAAACTTACCTCTTGCAAATTTTGTTTTTCAAAATAACTAATGTGTCAGTTATTAAAATTCTTTTAATGGGGAAAAAATGTTTATGTTTTTTGAGATTTAAGTGGTGTCTAGTTGACAAGCTGTAGCACACCAGCCTATTTTGGAGAGAATGAAGTGGAGCAGAAGTGGTAACTAAGCCTGTGGAAGTGGAGCGGAGGAGCTGAGCTGAGTCAGAGCAGCCGAACCCTCACAAACGTATCTCTGCTGTGATGCGATGCCATCCCAACCAAATGATCTCCATCGGACAATATCATAATTCCATATTCCTGCTCGGTAAAAATGTAAAAAAACAAAATTGTCACCACTTCTTTTGAATACATAAGAAACTGTTAACACCATTCACAAAATTCATTTCAGGTGAAAATATTTCTTATCTTTGATCATGCCTCATGGCCCGAGTTTTCTTTCTGGACTTCACTGTCTTGACTTGGATCAACTTTAGTAACAATCTGACTTGCTGGCTCCTTGATCTCAGTCTGATGCTTTGAATATTTTATCAATGCAGAGCAATTTGGTATGATTATACATGTTGTATTATAGACCATATATTTTATCACAATTGTTCACAGCTACATAAGCACTGATGACAGTTAAATTATAATCCATAAAATATTTTTTATAATTTAAATTTGTTTCTATTGAATTTCTTTTTGGAAAGATTCGTTTATTTGAGAGAGAATTAGCAAGAGAAGGACAGATGGAGGGAAAGAGAGACGGGAAGACAGAGAAAGATCTTTCATCTACTAATACACTCCCGAAACAACCACGACAGCCAGGACTGGGTCAGGAGCTAGGAGCTTCATCCATGTCTCCTATGTAAGTGCAGGGGCCCAAGCACTTGGGCCATCTTCTGCTGCTTTCCCAGACACATTAGCAGGGAACTGGGTTGGAAGTGAAGCAGCTGGGAATTGAACTGGTACCTGTATGGGACGCTGGTGTTGCAGGCAGCAGCTTAACCTGATATGCCACAGTACTGGCCCATGACTTTAATTTCATCATTTTTAGTTTGGGTTAGTTGTTCCCATCTATGACAGGGTTTGAATTTTGATTTTGGCATTCGATATATTGGCCGCTACTCCGGGATTCATTTGCAGATTGGTAAATAAGACTTTGATCTTATTGCATAGGACCAAGTCCAGCACAGGGCCAAGTCCAGCACAGGGTAAAGATTGCTTTAGACTGGCATCCATCTATTAATCATTTTAGACGGGCAGATATGTGGTACATTGGTTAAGGGTTATGATGCTGCTTGGAATGCCCACATGCCATATCGGAGTGCCAG